ATTGGTAACCCATTCATTGTTTAATAGCATGCTATTTAGCTTCCATGTGTTTGAATATTTTGGGGTTTTTTTATAGTGGTTGATTTCTAGTTTCATGGCATTATGATCCAAGAAGATGCTTGATATGATTTCAATCTTCTTGTATTTGTAGAGACTTGCCTTGTGCCCTAACATGTGATCTGTTTTTGAGAATGTTCCATGTGCACTTGAGAAAATGTGTATTCTGCTGCTTTGGAATGAAATGTTCTGTAAATGTCAATTAAATCCATTAGGTCTAGTGAGTCATTTAAAGTCTGTGTTTCCCTGTTGATTTTTTGTCTTGATGATCTATCCAGTGCTGACAGTGGGGTGTTAAAGTCCCCCACCATGATGGTGTTGCTGTCAATCTCCGTTAAAGTCCACCAAGAAATTTTTTATATATTTAGGTGCCCCTATATTGGGTTGCATAAATGTTTATAATGGTTATTTTCTCCTGTTGGATTGATCCCTTTAGTATTATGTAGTGACCATCTTTGTCTCTTGTTATGGTCTTTATTTTGAAGTCTATTTTGTCAGAAATAAGAATTGCTACTCCAGCTTTCTTTTCCTTTCCATTTGCATGGAATATTTTATTCCATCCCTTAACTTTTAGCCTGTGTGAGTCTTTTGCTCTCAGGTGGGTCTCTTGTAGACAGTATATATTTGGGTCCTGTTTTCTTATCCATTCAGCTACTCTATGTCTCTTGATTGGACCATTTATTCCATTTACATTTAAGGTTACTATTGATATCAACTTATTTAATCCCATTTTCCCCCTTTATGCTGATATACCTTTCTCTCACTATTCTTTCTTTTTCTTAGAGCAGTCCTTTTAGCATTTCTTGTAATGCTGGTTTGATGGTATTGAATTCCTTTAGCCTTTTTTGTCTGTGAAGCTCTTTATTTCACCTTCAATTTTAAATGATAAACACTTATTTAAATTCTCTTGGATATATACGTATGAGTGGAATTACTAGGTCATATGGTAATTTGTGTTTAGCTTTATTGAGCAACCAGCAAACAGTATTTTTCAAAAATATGTTTTTATTGACTTCAGAGAGAGGAAGGGAGAGAGAGAGAGAGAGAGAAACATAGATGAGAAACAGATTGGCTGCGTCCTGCATGTCCCCCACTGAGAATCGAGCCCACAACTCTAGCATGTGCCCTGACCAGGAGAGCCCAACCAGTGACCTCTTGGTGCATGGGACTATGTTCAACCAACTGAGCCACACTGGCCAAGCTAAACAGAATTTTTTAATTTATTTTTTTATTGAGATCATTGTGGATTCCCTTGCCGTTGTAACAGAGATACCACCATGTACAATTCGCTCAGTCTCCCCCAATAAGGCTGCATTTTGCAAACTTAAATCAATATCTCAACCTGGACGTTGACATGGATCCCATTACCTACCTTATCCAGATTTCAGATTTCCCAGTTTTACTTGCTCTCCTGTGTGTGCGCGCGCGCTTGTGTGTGCGCGCGTGTGTGTGCGTGTGTGTTGTCTACAATTGTATCAACTGAATAGGTTCCTGTATCCACCACAGCAAGGACTCCTAGGGCTGCCCTGTTATAACCTCAGCCCCTCCCATCTCTAATCCTCTGGTAATCACTTATGTGTTGTCATTTCAAAAATGTTACATAAACGGAATCTTACATTATGTGACCTTTGGACTTTTTTTCACTTGGCATAATTCCCTGGAGTCATCAGGATTTTTAAAAGCCCTCCAGGGGCTGGGGTGGCCAGGCTGACATACCTACATCCACCTGCGTTTTCTCGCAGCAGTTTATATATTGAGGCAACCCACGCGCCTCAGGCTCCCCATCTGTTAAACCCGGGTAGGAAAGCCCGCAGCTCCCAGGCGAGCTCGGCGGCTCAGAGCAGATGGGGAAGCAGATGCCCGCAGGCAGGACCTGGACCCCGCGAGGCTTTATGACGTCAACCAGGTTGCTATGGCAGCAGCCAAACGCCGCCCGGGCCGCCCCCGCCTCGGCCCCGCCTTGCTTGCTGGTGATTAGAGGAGCCGTTTGTGTCACAAGCTCCCGCGGACCAATGAAGAGCTGGCCCAGAGGCGGGCTCCGCGCGAGCCTCAGAGGGGGCGTGGCTAAAGGCAGCGTTAGATTAACGCAGGTTTCTTCTCACTCTTCAGAGTTAAAAACGCCCTCCGTGGTTTCCATAACCCCCCCCCCAAAAAGGTGCTGGCCACACCCAAAGTGGATTCATTGCCATTTCTTGAGGCTCCAACCTTTGTAAGCACCCAAAAACTAACAGCTTTATTTGGAGGCGCACAGTTCCCCGCTCTGAAGAGGGCGGCGTGGGCACTTTGCCATCTCTTGATGTTCTTATACCTAGAAATAAGAATGGGCCTGGGAGGTTTCAAAATTAATATATTCTGTGGTTGGTTTATAAACCACTGTTGTGGGCGATTCTCACAGATTGTTGCTGTTCCTACGCCCACGAACAGATGGGAACAAACACTCTAGGTAGGTCATTTTGCAAGATAGGCAGTTAAACTGCTGACAGTGTTTTGTCGTTTTCTTCCCTGAAACCAATGTTCTGGGCAGAAAGGGGGCTGGGTCCTCTGCGTGTTTGGGCAAGTATTAGTGCACTATTGCTGGGTAGCAAGTCACCCTGAAACAGTCACTTGAAACAGCAAGGAACACATTTTTCCATAGCTTCCGTGGGTCTGGAAGTCGGAAGTAATTTGGTTGGGTGGTTCTGGCTGAGGGTCTCTTATGAAGCTCTGGTCGAGATGCCAGCCAGGGCTGCCTCCTCCGATGGCGGGACTGGGGCTGGAGGAGCCACTTCCAGGATGGCTCCCTCGGTTTGCTGTTGGTGGCAGGCTCAGCCCCTCTCCATGTGGGCTCCTCCACAGAGCTCCTGGAGTGTCCTCACTGCAAGGCACCCGGCTTCCCACAGAGCAAGTGGTCCAAGAGAGTGGGGCCGAAGCCTCGTATCTTGTATGACCTGGTGTCAGCAGTGAGAGACTGTTACTGCTGATGTCCTGTTGGTTCCACAGGCCAGCCCTAGTCAGTGTGGAGGTGACTACGCAAGGGAGTGGATACCAGGGGACGGGGCCATCTTGGAGGCTACCCACCATGGCATTTTCACACCAAAGACCACCTGTTGGTCAGAAACACACCACAGCAAAGCAAGATGATGATGGAATGTCAGCATCCACTCCCTCTGCTTCTGGACCTGCCAGGCTCTACCCTGGATCCAGGAGACTTGGGGGGGGGGGTCATGTGAGCAAGGCCTGGCCAATAGCTTCAACCTGGGACTTTTGCTAGCACTAATGGGGAAAGTATGGCTGCTGCTTTTCCCCGGGGTTTGCTGGGGGGCATGTCAGCCTATGCCAGGGGTCATCTTTGTCACTATGCAGCAAGAGCCAAAACAAAGGATGGCAGAGCAAGAGATGAAGAGTGAGGGAAGGGAAGAGAGAGGCAAGGGGAAAGCTCTATTCATCTGACCCCGTGATCTGGCCTTGCCTACAGCCATCTCTTCTTCTGAACATTTCAGCTTCAGAAACCAACCCTTTATGTTGCTCGTAACAATTAGGAGGGTGGTTTCTGTCATTCGTAACATGATGCTATCAACAGATGAACAATGAAAAAAACACACACACTCACACACTGGATTTACTCAGCCATGGAAAGGAGGGAAGCGCCTACACTCGATACAACATGGATGGGCCTTGAACACATGATGCCCAGTGAGAGAAGTCAGATACAAAAGGCCACCGAAGTATAAGTCCATTTATGTGAAATATCCAGAACAGGCAAATCCACAGAGACAGGAAGTGGATTAGTGGTTGTCGGGGAGGGGGAGGGGTGCTCTGAGGTGATAAAAATGCTTTGGAATTAGATAGAGGTGGTGGTTCCACAACATTGTGAATGCACCCATTGTCACCGAGTTGTACACTTTAAAATAATTAACTGCATGTTATGTGATTTTCACATTAATATAAAAAAAGAAGAAGACCATGATGCCCCACCGGGCCTGGCCTCTCCCTTCTGAAGGCTCCTCTCCCACCCACACCTGGGTCATCCCAGGTTCTCCAGGGAATCCTCCAGTTTCTACCCCATCTTTTAAGCAAAACAATTTCTCCACCTACATCTGGCCACACCAAGGTATTTGACCTCCCCTGACCGATCCCACCTACTCCATTTCCTCCCCAGTCCTAAATGCCAGATTTTCTTCATACCTGCCTTCCATTAAAAGAAATAGGTGAATCTTTACACACAAATACAGAAATACACCCAGGCACATGGTTGAGGGGGAAAGCCAGATGCACTGATGGTTTAATTCTTTTCTTTAAAAAAATTTTTTTTTTAATCCTCACCTGAGGATATTTTTTCCATTGCTTTCAGAGGGAGTGGAAGGGAGAAAGAGAGGNCTCACCTGAGGATATTTTTTCCATTGCTTTCAGAGGGAGTGGAAGGGAGAGAGAGAGGGAGAGAGAGAGACACTGATGTGAGAGAGACACATCGATTGGTTGCCTCCCACACGCACCCCAACCAAGGCCAAGGTTGAGCCTGCAACTGAGTTACATGCCCTTGGCTGGAATCAAACCCAGGACCCTTCAGTCCTCTAACCACTGAGCCAAACTGGAAAAGGCTGTTTAATTCTTTTCTACAGGAACATAAGTGTATGTCAATGGATAGAAAAAAAATAGGACCCTCTCCAGGAAGCACATTCCCACCCAGCCCTAAGTTATTGCGGTGACAGCTGTACCGGGCATTTTGCCCCTGCATAACATGGGTCACCATCTTTCCAGTTCCCAACATCCTTTTCCTCACTGTCCACTAAGGAAGTGTCCCATATTTTAGATTTTTGGACATTTCAGAACACCCCTCTGGTGTTGGTGAAAATCTAGTCTGCCTGTCTCTGTCACAGAGAGCAATGGGCTCAGATCACGGTGGGTCTGAGTGCTGCCTTGCTGAGATTCCTCAAACTGTCTCAAAGAGAGTCAGACATCAGGCCTCAGTGTCAAGTTTTCTTTAATGAAAAAAGAACAAAGCTGAACAAAAGTCTGGGTTGAAGAGTCATTCCATGAGGCAAAGACCCCCCGCCTCCCATGCACCTGCAAGCTCCCCCAGCTGGCCCCAAGGGCATCCCCTCTGGAGGAACAGAAGCAAAAATGGATCCTGGGTCCCTAGCATTAACATGCAGAGGTCCACTCTGACCCTTGGGGGCGCTAGATGCTCTGCAGCATGCAGAGAGCATGATGCAGGTGCTGGCGAGCAGCTGGGGGACAGCCTTGGCTCTGCAGGATCCCCAGCGTGTAGGAGGCACCAGTCTGGCCCCGTTCCCAGACCGTGAGCAGCAACTCTTCACCCCCCCCACTCAGCACCAGTTGAACCTGGTCTCCAGTACAGCTGACCTGCCAAAGGAAAGGGGCCAAGGTCAAGGAGAGAAGGGTTCCCCTGGGGCTGCCCCCAGCTTTGGCCCATCAGAGAGAAGAACAAGTGGATAGGAAACAGAGCTCCCCAACCTGAGTCTCAGCAACTGCCCCACTCCTAGGAACTCAGAGTTGGGAGCCCAGAGTTTTACTGTACAGAAGGGGAAACCGAAGTTCAGACATGACTTCCCTGCCCACGGTGACCCAGTGAGATTGCCATTCTTAATTCTGTGACCTGGGGAATTCCATCCCCTCACCAAGTACCAGTTTCCTCAAGTGTTCTGAAAAGCCATGAAGGCAATGCTCTACCTGAGACCTGGCCCAGCTCAGGGCATTACTCACACACTAGTGTGAACAGCTAGAGTTGTTTTTCCTACTGGAAAAATTTTTAAATAATTACAAATTTAAAAATAATAATAATCATGGGCCCTGGCCAAGTAGCTCAGTTGGTTAGCTCATTGTCCCGATGCACCGTGGTTGCAGACTTGATCCTTGGTCAGGGCACATACAAGAATCAACCAATGAATGCATGAATAAGTGGAACAGCAAATTGCCAGGACTGCTTAGGAAAACTTCAACTTAAAAATGATTTTCCAAGGAAATGACATTTTTTAAAATCCTTACCCAAGGGCATATTTCCATTTATTTATTTATTTATTTATTTATTTATTTATTTATTTATTTATTTATTTATTTATTTATAGAGAGGGGGAAAGGGAGAGAGAATGAGAGAAACATCGATGTGAGAGAGAAACATCGATTGGTTGTCTCTTGTAGCACTCTGACGGGATGGAACCTGCAACCCATGTATATGGGGAATTAAAACCTCAACCTTTTGGTGCATGGGACGACACTCTAGGCAACTGAGCCACCCAGCCAGGGAAGAAATGACATTTTGACAACCGCTAAATGTAACCACCCATGAAGATGACCACAAATTACATTTTGCCATTACTTAAACATTTTCTTTTCAATTTTGCAGTTTTTGTACTTAGGAGTCAATACTTTGCCCCCCTGCCAGGAGCCAGCTGTTTCTTGGAGCCCCTCTGCCCAACAGTGTGGACTGGAACAGCCAGCATGGTCCAGGGGACAGGGCTGCCCCCAACCTGCTGATCCCCCAGGGGCTCCTGAGGATGAGGGCCCATGCTCACCTGCACTGTCCCATCACTGAAGAACAGCAGCAGGGCCTGCTGGGATGCAAGGAAGCGCAGCAGGCAGAGGCTGGGGCTGGCAGATTGGGTGGGCACAGGCAGGCCCCCCTCCTGTGGACAGACCCAGCCATGAGGCTCTTAGGGCCAGGGCCTCTCTACCTGCCAGTCCCATTGGCCCCACCAGCCGCACTGGCCCTGGAAGCCCTTACCTGTCGCAGTCGCTGCTGCATGTAGGCAGCAAAGAGTCGCAGGACAGCCAGCTTGGCACCCAGTGGGCTGGGCACATCCCTCAGGGCAAACATTTCCAGCTTCCCTCTGTCAGGCATGTAGCTGACTTGGCTGAAGGTGGGGGCATAGGGCAGTGCTGGCTGTCACAGCCTCTGTCCTGGGGCACCTTCCCATCCAGCCACACCCCCTTGGTCGGTAGCTTTGAAGACCAGTTCTACACTGACCACCCCTCTCTGTGCTTCCAGCCCTGGCCCCTCTCCTAAACTCCAGACCTCTGGAACCATGGACTCGGCCTGTCCAATGAGATCCTGATCAGCCCCCACAGCCACCCTCCTGCCATCGTCCTATCTTGCCCAGTGGTTGCTCCATCCTTCCCACCTGCAAACTCAGTCAAGATTTCAGCTCCCTTGCATCTCTACTCTGCCACCACCTCAGCCCAAGTCCCTGCCATTAGCCAGGGACTAGTCCAGCCACCTCCCCGCTGTCCCCTGCATCACTCCTGCCAGAGGGATCTTGTTAAAAGTGTGAGTCAGATCCCTCCTTCCTGCCCCGACCCTAACAGTGACTTTCAAGGCCACTGACTTCACATCGCCCCTGTCTCCGAGTCACTCACTCTGGAGGCCCCACTGTTCCTCAAGCCCACCATGCTCCGTCCCATCTTGGGGGCCTTTGCACATGCTGTTCTCTGTGCCTCAAGTACTGGTCCTGACAGGCTCCATTTCACCATTCATGTCTTACCTGAGTGTCACTTCTTCAGAAAGCCCCTCCACAGCCAGGCTGTCGTGAGCCACCTCCGCCCCCCAATCTGTCACCTCACCCAGTCATTGCCTTCAGAAAAGTGCTACCTGAAACCAACTTACTCATTTATCATTGTTCTTCCCGTGGGGAGTGACTGCCTGTAGGTGTGCATGGAGGTACTTAAATACTTGAGGAATGGGTGAAGAAAGGCGGGGGAGAGCCTGGCTCCCAAGGGGACAGGGACCCCATGACTTACCCCCCTGGGGGGCGCAGGGCCATGTGGGTGCCATCCCGAAACAAGACACCGCTGCCCCCATCCGACAGCTGGTAGCCGAAGCCGTACTTGCTGGAATAATCCACCCACTTGGGGGCCCAGAGGATGGAGCACTGCTCTCTTGGAGGGTCCTGCATGGCTGGGCACAAAGACGAGGTGAACTGAGTGAGAGGTTCTGGTGGGAGCTGGGTGGAGGGAAGGCAAACGCACTGGAAATGTTGAGAAAAGTCTAAAAAATAAAAAAACAACTCTTGCCTTGTGGCGGGGAGGGGAAGACTGGGATGTGAGGAATCACTCACTGCCTCTGGAAATGAGTAATNTCATTGTTCTTCCCGTGGGGAGTGGCTGCCTGTAGGTGTGCACGGAGGTACTTAAATACTTGAGGAATGGGTGAAGAAAGGCGGGGGAGAGCCTGGCTCCCAAGGGGACAGGGACCCCATGACTTACCCCCCTGGGGGGCGCAGGGCCATGTGGGTGCCATCCCGAAACAAGACACCGCTGCCCCCATCCGACAGCTGGTAGCCGAAGCCGTACTTGCTGGAATAATCCACCCACTTGGGGGCCCAGAGGATGGAGCACTGCTCTCTTGGAGGGTCCTGCATGGCTGGGCACAAAGACGAGGTGAACTGAGTGAGAGGTTCTGGTGGGAGCTGGGTGGAGGGAAGGCAAACGCACTGGAAATGTTGAGAAAAGTCTAAAAAATAAAAAAACAACTCTTGCCTTGTGGCGGGGAGGGGAAGACTGGGATGTGAGGAATCACTCACTGCCTCTGGAAATGAGTAATTCTGAAATGCCTGCAATGCCCAAAATACCATAAGGCTTTGCTTTGTTTGATTAAAAATATTTGTATTAAAAATAAAAATTGCTCAGTGCCATGTGGGACCCTGTACTGGATCCTGGGAGAGGAAAAAAAGGCATTAGTGGAAAAAAGGGGCATCCAATCGCCAAGGGCAGACAAAACTGTGCTGTCTTGGTAGCATCTCTGAAAAGTTATCTCAAATTCTCTTTTACTGTTTATTTAAAACATTGAAATAGAAGTTGGCTCCAGTTGATAAAACACAAGCTTAAAGTCTGGGTTCTTTTTGTACTACACAATCAGGGAAGGCTGAACAAAGCAAAATGGATCCCATGAAAAAGAAAAGTCTTGGGGCTCCCTCTCCAGGCGGGGCAGGAGGAGTGGGTTGGTGGAGAAAGAGGGTTTGGGAATCTGGGACTCTGGGATATGGGACAGGGTCCCATCTCAGGGGGTGGCTGGGACTTAGGTTCGGGGTTGGTGAAAGTCTGATGTTTCATTTCTTCCCTCCGTTTCTCTCAGTCTCCTCTCTCGTTCTCAAACAGGAGTAGATTACAAATTATAGAGACTCAGACCCTGAAAAGACAAGGATGCCCCCCAGGGCCCTTCCCAACACGTCACTCAAAATAAACATCCATCATAAAGTACATATAAAGAGGTCTCAGAAAGTTCTAGACTTCTCACACAAGGATAGCCTGTATCATGCTATCATTAGCCTCCTTATACAGGTAAGGAAACTGAGGCACAGAAAGTTAAGTGACTTGCCTGAAGTCACTGTGTCCCGAAACCTCCCTTAAAGCTGTCCCACTGTAGAGCCCCAGAAACACCCCCAAGGGGGACCTGGATGCGGACAGGGTGCTTTTCCTCAGAGATTAAGAGACAGGGTGACCCCTGTGGCCTAGGCTGTGCTCCTACCTGGAGGTCCAGGGTTCAGGCAGAGCTGTAGGTTTCTAATGGCCTCCTCCACCTCCTGCCTTGGGGTCCCCTCGAGCCCTGGGGAGACAGATCTGTGTGGGGTCAGGGAGAGGAGAGAGGGGAAGGCAGGCCTGGGTCCCCACCATGAGGGGCCCCTCCACCTAGCCTGGCCCCAAACTCTCGCACCTGGGAAAATCTTTAAACCCAGAAGGATTCCAGACGCTGTTCCCATTTTATAGGTGGGAAAGTTGAAGCCAGGAGAGGGGCCATGACCTGACAAGGCACTGTCTTTGTCCCCTGCCTCTAGACCATCACTCCCCACCCATGGCCCCCACCTAGGATAGAGAGTCTGCTCACCAGCCTGGTCACTCTGGAGGGTCCCTTGGGTGAGCAGGTGGACAGGGACCTCAGGTCGGGGAGCCCCTTTCTCCAACAGGGAGGCCTGGGGAGGGAGCAGAGGGGGTGAGGGGTGCCCCAGCCCCTGGGGAGAGGCCTGAGGTGAACGAAGGGCTCCAGCCTCTGCAATCTAAAGATACCCTACTTCTCCCTCTCCCTCTGTGTCCCCTATCCTGAGCCCTCACCTCACTGCCCCACTCCATGGAGTCAGGGTCAAGATCATCTTCTCCTGGACATGAGGCCTCGCCGGGAGCGACGGGGCCTGAGGGAGGCACAGAGTTCTGAGGGCGGCAGAGCCTGGCCCCACGGAGGGGCGGGGACCCCCGTCCATATCCTCCTCTGCACTGGGTGTGAGTTGCAGAGCAGGTTGAAAGCAGGGCAGGTGTGTGAGGTGCAGAACAGCTATTGGGCAGGTAGGAGCAGATGAGGGGATGGGTGGGCATGGTACTCACAGGGTAGCTGGCACTGGCTCATTAGCAGCTGGCCCACCTTCCGGAAAAGCCTGCCCAGAGGCTGAGGAATGGCAAAAATGGGTGGGCTGTGGCAGGAGTGGGGTGGCAGCCGGTCCGGAGTGAAACCCTTCAGAGTGAGGTGATAGGAGTTGGCACCCCACACAGGTTGCCTGGCCCCTGAGTACCCGGGCCACCTGGCGGTCCTCACCCTCCTGGACCTTGGCTAAGATGCCCCAGAGAGGGACTCAGGCATCCAGCCCCCAGGGTGGCATCACCTGCTGAACATCACACACCTGTGTGAAGAAGTTGTCCTGCAGTAGGTGGTCCAGGCTGGGCCGCTCGGCTGGGTTGGGTGCCAGCAGGCGGGCAATGAGGCGACAGGCATTGGGCGACAAGTGGGCAGGCTCAGGGTAACGGCCATCTCGGATATTTTGATACATCTCTGACAGGGGAGCCACCGTGAAGGGAGGGTCACCAGTCAGCACCATGTACCTGGGCAAGGGAGGGAAGCAGGAACCTGGGTGCCTGCTTGCATCTGTCCTGGGCTGGTCCAGCGTTGGCTCACACCTACCTGTGCACACCTGGCCATACCTACCCACACTGTACATGCTTCCCGCTCACTCACGTTCCCACATCTGCCCTACATCCCCTCCCACTTGGCTATTCCTGTCGTGTTGGTAGATACAAGCAGCTGTAGACACCAGCTTATACCTGTACATACCTGAATGCACCTGTCCGACTTTCTTTTATGCATGTTCACACCTGCTCCAGTCCTGAATGTACTTCATACATGTACATATGCCCTGCTTTGCCTGTGCACCTAGCACCTGCACACACCTGTCCACACATCTTTGAACATTCAAATCTGACGTCCCTGGCACATACTTCCCCCCATATCTCTGTTCACACCTGCATGCTCAAATGATGGCCGGGGTGTGCTCCTCCCACTTGCCCCATATCTGCACTTATCTGTTCACATCTGTCATGTATATGCTCACACCTGCCTGCCCCCCACTCAACCTCCTGTGTACTTACTCATACCCGTCCTTACCTCCTTGCATGCTCCCACCCGCCCATACCTGGCACCATCTGGATACTCCTGCCCCACTTCCCCAGGCCCAAGCTCCCAGGACCCCACTCACATGATGCAGCCCAGAGCCCAGATGTCTGACTGGCAGGAGTGCCCATTCCTGGAGACAACCTCTGGGGCCAGGAAGTTTGGGGTCCCACAGAGCACTCTGGGAAGGGAGAGTGAGGAGCTCAGGAAGGCTGGAGGCCCCATGCCAGACCAGGTTCTCCTGTGCCCACCCTGAGAGACTGCTCCAAGCCTCCACTCTCACCTGTGGCACCGGCCCCCTGGTCCCACCCTGGCAGCCAGCCCCAGGTCCCCGATCTTCACCTCCATATTCTTATTCAGGAAAAAGTTACCTGCCGGTGGGAAGAAGAGGCATGGGCATAACAGGGGGAGCCAAGTCCCAGCTCCCATGGCCCCCACAGTTTCCACAGCTCCCCTCCCCACACTCACTGAGCTTTAGGTCTCGGTGTACAATACGCTGCTGGTGCAGGTAGTGCAGGCCACTGACCAGGCCCCTCAGGTAGTAGCGTACCTCAGGCTCTGTCAGCGTCTGCCGCACCTCCAGCACATGGGCCAGCGACTGCAGGTGACCCGCAGGCCACAGCACCAGCACCAAAGAGACACAGATGAGCTCAGGTATACTTAAATGGGCAAAGTGAGTTCAAGGAGTCTACGAAGGTACCACTAAGTTCAGCTGGGGGCATGGGGCATGGCTACGTGCAGGAGGGACACGGGTGAGCACAGGTATGCTCAGGTGGGCCCAGGTACCACAGGTGAGTATGAAATGAGCATGGTGACCACAGATTAAACTGGACACAAATGAACACAGGTGAGCCTAAGTGAGTTAAGTGAGCCTAGGATGAGCACAGTTGGGCCTGTGTGGGCACAGGTAGAGACGGGTAAGTGCAGATGGAATACAGGGGTGGATGCAGGTAAGCACAGCAGACATGGAGGTGTGCAGGCTCCCTCTCTGCCCCACCCCCAGGACACCTTTCGGCTGCAGTACTCCAGCACCATGTATACGTGGTCACGGTCAGCAAAGTGTCCGTGGAAGGCCACAATATTGCGGTGTCTCAGGCGGCTGTGCAGGGCGATCTCTTGCTCCACCTGCAGGCACAGTCCCAAGTGTACACACCCGGCACACGTATTCATACCAACAGACATCCGCCCCGACCTCAAGGGCAGGGACCTCTCTGGGAACCCACTGTGGGCATGGGGACCCTGGGCACTGTTGGAGGGGCCATACCTTCCCAAAGGGGCGCAGACCCCGGGCCCCACCTCGCGGCACCACCTTGAGAGCAAACACAGTGCTGGTGGACATGTCGGTCAGCTTATAGCAGCGGCTGAAAGCACCCTTCAGGTAGGGATTCACAAGCTCAGTGGCCAGGTGGCCAGGCTGCTTCTCACACACACACACACACACACACACACACACACACACACACACACACACCCCTGAGACACATAAACACACAGCTCACACCCTCTTACCTGGACACTCAAAACAACACCTGGGAACAAACAAACACAGAGACACATGCACTCAGGCAGACACATCCATACCAGGCACAGGAAGCAGAGATGTGTAACGCATTTCACACACACGCGCACGCACACACACCTGGAAACAACAGGACAGGGTTTCGAGACAGGCACAGGGACCCGTCACACACTCGGTGGCAGCACACCCACGCCCATGGACACCACTCACCCACACAGCACGGCCCGCCAAATACCGGTTCCTGCCACGCACCAGGCGCCCAGACCAACGCCAGACCCCAAACTCAAGCGGACACACAGCACTCCCAGAGACAAAGCCCAGGGCGCAGGGGGAAAGCTGGACTAACGCCGGCTCCGCTACGCTCAGGGTCGCGCGTGCACAGCCCGCCCCGCCCCGCACGGACCCCCGCCCGGGCCTGCTCAAGACCCTTCGCCGCGAAGTCGGGGTGAGGGGTCCCCACC